GAGTTTCTTGTGAGTAGTGAGTGTTTTGTTAACACTTGTAATTTTTCTCTCTTAGTAAAATATTTGCAGCAGTCTGGAGACGTAAACATAATTGGCTGAACTCCGTTATCAATTTCGGGTATTATTTTTCCGCTTTTATTTCGCATTCTCACTAATCTGGTTATAGGGAAATTACTCGTACTCGGTTTATTTCCCAACAAGGGAACCCATTCTTGTTTCGATTGCTAGACCTGGCTGCTCTCGGCTCTTGAGGGGTTTAAGTGCTATCTGGGATGACGTTCGAAAAGGTATTGTCTGGAATTTGGGTGACGGATCCAAGGTTGATTTCTGGAATGATTGTTGGCTCGGGGACTTGGGGCCATTGCGAGAGAATGGATGTTTGCTAGGTAGTGTTATCCAGCCAAATGCTACGGTGGCGTTCATGGTTGACCCGAGTGGTAACTGGAGGTGGGAAGAGTTTGAGGATTTGTTATCTTCCTCAGCTCGCCTTTGTGTTGCAGCCATTCGACCACCTCTCCCTTTGGGTGGTGAAGATAAGCCAGATGGAAATGGGAAGCCAATCGGATGTTTACTACCAAAAGTGCGTATGAGGCTATGAGCAACGAGCAGGTGGACGTTCTACTCCGTCAAGTTCGTCGAATGTTAAGATATAGAACTTGATTTCAACTTATAAACGGCTTCCCATTGTGAAAACTTTGTTTTGGATAACCTGTCGAGGGAGTTTACTATCCATTGAGGAAAGAGTTCGAAGAAATATTTCTTCGAAGGTTAGTTGTGCCATTTGCGGAGCTACAGTGAAATTTGCCTCCCATATTTTTAGAGAGTGTCCTATGGCGAGAGCAACTTGTTCTGCTATTATTAAACCTGATCACTTCGGAGAACTTTTAGGTTTAAACTTGATTCAATGGTTTGAACGAAACCCGGACAGTCCGACCCATTTCCCATTTGTGGCTCAAGACTGGGATCTTTTCTTTGGTTCTGTGATTTGGTGTATATGGGTTAGACCCAACAAAACGTTGTTTGATCATGAGTTTGTGGTTAGGGAAACCATCCTTCATCAAAGTAGTGGATTTGTTCAAGAAACTGTGCATGCCAAATCGAGGAATTTATCTCTGATAGGGAGTCGGTTAATGGGTAACAACCATGCAACTCTTTGGTTTCCTCCTCCTCGGGGGTGGTTCAAACTTAATTTCGACGAAGTGAGATCTAGACGGATCCAAAATTAAATATTTACCGTGTCGGAATATTAGATTATTTACAAAAAAAAATAATATAAAGACTTATTAGGTATTTAAATTCGAAATTCAGTATGAACAAGCGATCTTAGTGATTAAGGGGATTGTTGTTATCAGGGCCGTGTCTAGGTTGTTGGAGGCCATGTGCAAATTCTTGTTAAGGGACCCTTAGATCTCGAATTTATTTTTCTGAAATAATAAATGACTAATTTCATTAACTTAAAAACTGATAGATATACTCCATTCTGGGGCCCATGTGTAAATTTGAACTTGTTTTTCCCAAAAATAATTTTACTTGTTAACGAGATTCGAATTTATGATCAACAAAGTCATGGACCCAATGATCTAACCACTGCTCTATACCTATTTTTTTGCTTCTTAATGGCAACAACTGATAGATATACAATATTTCGGGGCTCCTGTTTTTTGAGGTCCTGCGCCGTCGAGCACTTAGCGCATGCTCATCCACGCCCCTGGTTGTTATCCTTAGGTCTCGAGTTCAAGCATTGCGTATGTAAGGTATAAGCGTTCGTTGTCAAATAGTTGAAAGTCTTTGTACATATACTACCTTGTATTTACCTTAAATTTATAATAAAAAAAACTCAAAATTCACAAGACAACTTATAATTTGTCTAATATTTAAACTTACAATGACCTAAATTATAATTAGACTAAAAATTTGATAACACATACTTATCATTCTTTAATTTGACCACTACTTGATTAAATATTTAATAACTTTTTATATTTTTTTAAATTTAAATATTTATTTTTACATGAATCAAAAATATTATTAAATCAAAATTATATTAAATTTGTAATATTAAATATACAAATTTTAACACTTGGCCCTAAGGGAGCTCCGTCCACGAGTGAGACGTACGAACTCAAGTTTAACCGCTTGTAGCGGGGTTATTCAGGATCACTCTGGTAAATGGGTTCTAGGTTTCTCTAAACCCATAGGTATTTGTTCCGTTATCGACGCAGAGCTATGGGGCTTATATGGGTTGTAGTTGGCTTGGGATCTACAAATCCAAGTGATTGAAGTGGAATCGGATAATAGAGAGGCACTCGTCGTGGTTGGATGGAACGAACTGACTCGTCGATTGTTTTGCATATTACGGAACTAGTTAACAGAGACTGGCAGATAAAGTTCGACTGTGTGCCTCGTTGTTGCAACAGGGCGGCTGATGGTATAGCGAAACTTGCTTGGAAGAGCTCTTTTGATCTCACAGTTTTTCATGAGGTTCCAGTTGAGATAGTCAAGGACTACCTGGAGGATGCCGAACACCACCAACTTGTGGAAGAGTAGTATTCCCTACGACCGATTATTATCCTTATTATTCAGGAAAAAATTAATCACTTTACGATTAAACGTGTCAAATTAATCTTTATATTTAAAAAAATCAAGTTTTGATAAATTTAAGGATTATTTTATAATAGTTTAGTAAAATTAATGATTATTTTTTAATAATTTAATAAATTTAAGGACTAACCTTTTAAAAATTTAATGATATTTATAATGTAGAATCAATATTTTAACATAATTAATATTTTTGTCCTTGAATTAAAAAAATTGTCTTAAGATTATATTTATTTCACTTAAAATATTTTTCATATATATATTTTTTATTTTTTTCAGTATTTGGTTGGCGGAAAATAAGTTGTTCAATGTATTCATTTTCCTTGTCTCTTCTGTAAAATGACTTATCGTCTGATTTTTTTATAAATTATTTTAAAGTTTTTCATTTCAAAGCATAAATAGGCAAAACAATATTATTTTATGTATTTAATATTAATATGTCTTCAAAAAATATTAATATAACATTTTAGTATTGTTTTAAGAAAATTATTTGAAATATTTTTATTAATAATTTTAATAATATAATATTTTATTTATTTTTTAATATTATAATAATATATTCAATTATATTATAGTAGTATATGATATTATATTTTTATTTTAAAAATATATAATAAAATAATTTATGTTTAACAGTATATAGAGTATATGACTAAAAACTATCGATTGGCATCTCCATTCTCCTTCAGGTTATGGGTTCATAGTAAAAATTTTCTTTCCTAATAATTGTTAAAAAAATTAATTTAATATATAATTATTTATACCATTTTTAGCAAGTAAAACAACTTTTTTTCTACTAAGCAACGGTATCTAGGGGTGTAAACGAGCCGAGTCGAGTTCGAGTATTGTTGAGCTCGACTCGACTCGAAAACTCTGAAATAGAGCTCGACTCGACTCAAAAACTCGTGAGCTTAAAATTTTTAAGCTCGAATCGAACTCGAAATCCTGAACTGAAGCTCGTGAGCAGCTCGAAAAGGCTCGAAATGAAAAAATAAATCTTAAACTTAACAAGATTGAATCTTTAAACTCAAACTCAAACCTGAATCTTAAATACATGAAAGTCTTATTGTATTTAAAAAAAAAATCAACACATAAATATTAATATTATAATAATTTATTTTTTTTTAAATAAATTCTTAATATATTATATTTTCGAGCTGCTCACGAGCTTTTCGAGTCGAGTATCAAGTAGCTCGTTTCGGCTCGTTAAGAATTCGAGTCGAGCTCGAGTTCGAGTTGAGTCCATTCGATCTGAGTATTTATCAAACCTTGACTGAGTCAATCTCGAATAGCTCGCGATCTGTCTCGTCTCATTTACAGCCCTAACGGTATCAATAATTTGAAATCTTACCGACTATATTTCATCTAAATTCTCTTTGACAAAATTAAATGTACAGTTTTTTTTAAAAAAATTATTATTATTATTAATTATTATTTAATTAGTTTAATAAAATGAGACATTAAAATATTTAAATAAAATAAGAATTACGTAATGGAAAAAATAAATTAAATAGGAGGAATTATCCTTATAATATTCAATTGAAATTAATAAGTTAACAAATCAAATACTAATAGTTATATTTTTAAAAAATATAAATAAATCAATAAATGTTTTTAATTAAAAATTAAATATAAAATATAAATAAATCGATGTTGGTTAAATCTAATATAATAAATATCGCATATCATATTTTCTCTCTCTTTCTCTAATGTGTGTGAAGCCCACTCAATAATTTTTTTTATTAATCTCGAGTAAGTATAAGATAGTATCTTTTTAAAAATAACTCAAGCTCACACCTCTGGTATTTATAATATTCGAATCTGAGACTTCAAAAAATAATAATAATTTATTTATCACTGATATTATTAAAGTATTGATTATTATAATTGGGCCAAATTAAAGGTGGTGTAAGCCCATTAGAAACCAATGGAAATAAGCGGTTTTTTAAGTTCCAATTTAATTCACAGTTTCATGCCTATTTTGCTGAACAAATGCTAGAAATGAGAAATCCAAAGTAATCACTCTCGACTTTCCGATAAGTTCGTCTGTTTGTTTCCTGAGAAAGCATTTGTCTAGACAAACTAGTTTCTTTACTACGTTTGTTCTTGCATTTTTCGATTTACTCGTAGCAGTTTTCAAGGGAAGAAATTATTTCGTTCTTCTTCTTCTTCTTCTTTTGATTAGGAAATAAAATATTCACTCTTTGGTTCTTATAGCGCAATGTATGGCCTATTTTCATGTTTTTTTTTATCATAATGGATGCACAATGTGATCGATGGAAAGAGAACTAAGAGCAAACCGGATAGGTTCTTTATTTTTCTTTCTTTTAATTTTTTTTATTTTTATTTTTATAGGGATACTGAAGAATGTTACATGTTATGATGCTTGATAGTCTATTGAAGAAAAATTCTGGCATTTTCTGAAGTCGTAGGACTGATTATAGTAGTATTAGTAAGGAATTTGAAAAGAACACTGATCACTATTGTGAAATTGACATGGAAGATTCCGAATATGGACAATATTTTAGCAACTTAGAGCGGTTTCGTTATCATCCTGGTGGTGATGCTGATGATGATGAGGAGTTAAAGAATCCTGAGTATAATTGTTTCATTGAGAATTTAAAACAGAATGAGAATGGGGAATCATACTCGGTTGAATTTGCAATTAATTCTGATATCTCAATTGTACTTAGGTATTAGGAAGAGGAAGAGGAAGAGAAAGAAGAGTCTTTTGAGAATGTGGATGGACAGAGGAATTTTATGAGTAATTCGAAAAGAGAAAAGGCTAAGGTTCTGGAAAATTCAGGTGGCTTTTCGGGGAAAGCAAGAGCTAATATACTGAAAACTAGAAAGAAATCTTTGGAGATGGGAGATAAAGAGGGCAAGAAAAGTTTAGGAGATGTTCCTGGTCAGAAAAGAAAGAGAGATGATGAAAACGAACTAGAAGAGGGAGCTGAGGCTGATCCAGTTTCTTGTAAATCAAGTGCAGGATCTTCGAAGTTGATGAATTGTGTTGTGAAAGCTGAAAACCAGCCTGAGGTTCCAGATTCTTTTGATAAGTCTGGCATGAATCCTGAACTGGGAAATGAAGTGTGTCATACAAGTTCACATCAAAAAATGATGGAAGTTGTCCTGAAGTAGAAGTATTTACATTGGATAATATGCCTTTACTTGAAGGAGATTATATGCCATTTGTACCATCAAAATGCTTTGTATGCATATTATGTTTTCCTTTTGATCTTATTTCCCTTTATTTTTTGGGGTAAAGCAGAAAAACTAAAACGAACATAACACCAGATACATCTAGGCTAAGATGATTTGGTAGGCTCTAACCTCATCTGGATGTTTGAGAAAAGGGTTTTCTAGTGTTTTCCTTTTTCCTTCAGCTTTGCATGTTGCTGATTCTGTTACTTTTCTTTCTTGTTTTTATTAAAAAAAAAAAAAGGCTGGTGAAGGTTGTGGGGATGGTATCAGAGATTCTAGTCCGTCTCAGTTCAGGGAGAAGCTCATGGATCTTCTTAAAATTCCTTATAACAGAAAGGAGCTTGATAATCTTCGGCGAGAAGTAACCAAAAGAAAACCAGTGCAGGGTGTTAAAGAGTAACTCCATGGAAGAATGAAATCGTATTCAACCAAAACTAAAGGAAAATCATACCTCGATTGATACCAAGGTAAGTTTGATTTCTCCAAATTTTTTGTTTCATTTTATTTATTATAAAGATGTAAATTAAATTTATGATCTGTTTTAGTAACTGAGATCAGTGCCACTTTCTGACAGAATTTGTTATAGGTAGTACAGTTTTGTTGAAATGATTCTACAATGTTTCCAAACAAGAAGCAAATATTGAAAGGAAAGATTGACGCACATGTTTATCCTATTACTCATCTAAAATGAGCATGTTGTCTGCCGGTGTAGTAATGCTATTTGGTTCCTGAAATCTTAAATTATGATCGATAAGATCTTTTCTGTGCATTCTCAATTGATTTTTGTTGTTGTTCCACTGCCTTTAATACAATGTTATGTTTACTTTTACGAGACTGCCATCTGATATTCCTCAACATACAGTGCACATCAAAGATGTTGTTTTAACAAGTGATTTACAGTTTCGCTTCTGATTTTGCAAGACCATTTTTGTTTTGGTTACTTACGAAGTGTTGGTTGAGCCAGACTTATTTAGCTTGATAAATGTTTCCTTCTGTAGTTTCAGTATTTATTCAGCCATCATAAACGTGAAATTCTTGGAAAAAAATATTTGCTTTAATTGTCATGTTTGTTACTCTTGCTTGCAGAACTTAAAATGAAAGCTGAAGAATTGAGAGAAGATCGACGTAAAGTTTTATATCTCTTACGTGGATTTTTCTTTTGGTTGAAGGTGAGTGGTTCATCAGCATTTTCATCCTGCCAAACCCTTTTTTAGATGCTAATATTATTGTTCGTAGCAAAAACCAGAGCTGGGGAAGAAAGGAGGCACTGGCTTAGTATCAACATCTATAAGCAAAAATCTGTTTCATAGTTTGTATACGAACAATGAAACTAGTGCTTTGTTGAGCAAAGCTTCTAATTTGTGTGGTTGTGTTTGTGTGTATATATATATATATTCTTCCAGAATACAGCTCATGAAGGTGCATTTCAACCATGGATGGACTCGTTGTAATTGAAGGGCTTTGACCGACCAGAGATCGTATAGCATGCCTAGCAGACATACGTATGCGACCTCAACTGACTCACAATGAGTGAAGGGTATGATTCCAATCGTTTTTTGATGAAACATTGTGAAATGTTGCCCTTGTCCTGTCTATCTGTTGTGTTCTTTTGCTAGCCATAGCCGATGTTGTCGTAATGTATTCGGTTTCATGTCCGTAATTTCATTCGAACCTGAAAATATTTGATACTAATCTAGTTTTGATGGCGATTCCGTTTAATAGATGGTGCATTATTCGTTCTAATGTGTATTCTTTTTATTATTATACGTGACTTGTAATCTTGTAGATTTTTCCATTTTAAGCTTAAACATTTACTTTTTTTTTTCATAATCTATACTAATACTTTATTAATAAATATAATTTATTAAAATTTGAAATTATATATATATATATATATATATATATATATTCATTACAATTGTATCTTTTGCCCTTTGATATTTGTATGCCTTTACAATGTTACCCTTATTTTTTTTTATTTGCACCTTTATTGTTTTAATTTGGCTTAATACCAAAATAAGTGTTCAAACTATATCATTTTTACCCAAATAGGTGCCTACAATATTTTTTGGACCATCCAGGTGTCTAACGTTATAAACGTAATCAGTTTAGGTTCCCAAGATGTAACGGTCGTTAGTTTTCTCCATTAAGTGATAGTTTTCTCTATTAAGTGACATGTGTTACAATATAGTAATTTTGAAATTTATTTTTTAAATAAAAATATTATTATTATATTTATAAAAAAAATCTTAATTTCTTTTAAATTACAAAAAAACCTCAAAATCCCTAAAATTCTCAAATCCTAATGTTAACCCGACGTCGTCGCCCTTTTGGGTCATGACCACCATCGTCTATGTAGTATCTGCCATCATTCTAGTTATATGTCGTTGTAGTTATCGTCGATTGGCTTTCGGAATCGCATGAGATTGTGATTTTCATCATAGGATTCGCGGAGTATAAAACTTCGATTCGTCGTTGATCGGTCACGATTTCATAGGGGTTTTGGTCGTCAGGGAAGGTGAGGTCAAGTGGAGTTTCGTCGATGGTAAAGGGCGGCGAGCGACATGGGTTTAGGGTTGAAATGAAGGTTTTCAAAGTTTTTGGGTTATTTCAAAATTTGAGTTTTCTTTTTAAAACATATATAATTTTAATTTTTCAATTTTATATAAAAATTAAAATATCATATTGTGACACGTGTTAATAGAGGAAATTCACGACGTTGACGGCCCGGGCACATAAAGTGATGACGTTTGTAACGTTAGGCACCTTAATGATCTAAGAAATACTGTAGACACCTATTCGAAAGAAAAAAAATATAATTTAGACACTTATTTAAGTATTGACCCTTTTAATTTTCTCATATAAATTCAATTTGCATAGGAGATGTTAATCAATGTTTTTTTAAGTGTTATGATATCTTTTATCATGTAATTATTGAGGTGGAATATAATAAGATGTTATTTTATCATATATGTCAAGTTAGTAAATAATTAAAAAATGAAAAATTACAACAAATTAATTACTATTAAAATTTGTGTTCCCTAAAATTTAAAGGTATAATATTAAAATTAACTTATAATATTTGATAAAGTAACCATTTTGATTTTATTATTTTTTAAAGCAATTTGGCTCTCGGTTCATTTTGAGGCAACATAACTCTAGTTGAATAGAATCTATTAGTTGATTAACGATCAATGCTTCTTGTTAATGTGATTTGTTCATGTGGACTTTAATACTGAAGTAACATGTCCATATAGAATGCTACATCAACAAAAATTATTTTTAAATTAATTATTTTTTTGTTAAATTAATAACACACAATAATAACATGTGTAATCGTCTTATTGGTTTAAAAAGATAATTACTTTTTAAAAATTTAGTTAACCCCACACAAAGGGTGCAATGAGAATCAATCTTGGGCCAGGCCAACTCACTTAATTATTATATTTTGATCGTATAATATAATTATAATTAATTATATATAAATTTATAAAAAAATATATTAATTATAACATAAATTAACTAATACTTATTTTTATGACATCAACGTTAAATTAAATACTACGTCTGTCTCGTTAAAACTCTACCTTATTGATTTTTTAGTTAGTTTTTTTCAACTATAACTCTTTATTATTTAATTTTTTTTAACTATAACTCTTTATTATTTAAAATTTATTGTTGATAAAAAATAAAAAAAAAAATATTTTAAAAACCTTCAATCAAATTGTTTTGAAATATATATTTTCTTCCTGTCTTGGCAAAGCTTTCGAGACATGTGAACTAAATCTCGAGTTCTAACCGAACATCCAATAATGATAAGATAAACAAAATTCAAGGCAAACACCATTATCACAGAAAAAAAAAACCCTGAGATTAATTACCTTCACAAGTTGGTAATCGAATAAAGTTACATTTCCACTGGAACTTAAACCCAGGAAACAAAGAATTGAGGGAAAATACATCAAATGTATGAAATAAAGTGGAAAAAAATCAGTTATCAGAAATTTTTTCTATAAATCAATGTTGATTTGGGTGGGCAATGATTAGAGACAAAAATCATTGCGCCTTCAACTCTACTGGTTTATATCATCTGAATAACATGAATTTATGGGCTCTTGTTCTACATCTATGCAGCAGCCTGTCTCACCTATATGGTTGTTTCCCGTGATTTCGGATTTATCCCACGGTGGTCCTTTTCTTTTCTGTTGTCTGAAGTACTTACCCAAATCATAGGAGGTTTCTCTTGTTCTTTTGAATGTCTGTTGGATGTTAGTACCTGAAATATCAGACTCTGGGTGGTTTCCACCAGTTGTGCCTGGAATGCTTTCATCAGGATAACTAGTGACAGGTCGACGACTGTCCTGTTGCCCTTCTTTTATGTCAGCACTCATTCCGATGGAGTTAGCAGCAGAAGAAGGTTGAGTGTCTTTCTCATCAGGGGGACATGGAGGCAAAGGCGGAAATGGGTGGAAAGGCATGCCAGGGGCTATCCTCCAAGTTTCTAGACTTTTATCTTGCTGCAGAAAGGGGAGTGGTATTCCATATGAAACCGGCAAACGGGAAATGAATCTCTTCTGTGGATGAGCAATAACCACATCAGGAAACTTCGACGGACAAACTTTTGGTTGAGGGAAACCTGTAGCAGTTGATGGAGCAGCAGGTGAAATCAAAGATGTATTAAGAGGAGAGGAGAACCCTGGTGGAGCATCCTGCTGAAAACTTTGATTCCCATTATCAATATTAGTAGCTTCACCTTTGCAAAAGTTTACATAGCATTTGTTATCTCCACTGTTCATCCTCTCTGTATGATCTGATGTTGCTTGACCTAAAGGGGATAACGTGCTACATTCAAGTTTCTTTGGTGACCATGAATCAATTTTCTCTGGATCCGCTGGCTGATCCCAACGGCTTTTACGCTTCCGAATTCTGGCACCATTGGCTTGGGAAACACCAGCTGATGATGAGGAACCGCCCTCCCTGGTGGAAGTATCTGTTGATGTTGTTCCAGCCACAGATTGTGCGACACAATTAATAGCTTCAGAAGATCGTATGGCCTGATCACGCCAATGATTGTGAGATGCTGAAACCCTGTGAAACTCCATCCTGCCCTCATCCTTGTCCCTGTAGTCATGTTTTCTGACGGGTTTTCGAATCCACTTATCTCGAAAATTCCGGGCTATTTGATGGACCTGTAAGATTTGACCATAGATACAAAATTCACCCAAGAAAAAGCCATTACGAAAAGTAGTATAGTCCACAAATAACAAGATACAGAATCTATACTATTAAGTAATTAATAAAGGGGAATATTAAATGAAATGTCAGTCGATACCTGTTTGTCATCATGCTCTGTGAATGACAGTATCGAATCCCTAAAGCTGCAGAAGAAAAGACATATTTTTCATGTAAAGAGATAGAAAAGACAGAATCAATTTCAATCAAAACAAAACTCAGTTATATTCTCTAACCTCTCCCTTCCAGCGCAATAAGGACCTCCATTAATATGGTCCTGTGTAAGTATTCCCCGCCCTGCCAAATACTCTAAAACCTGCAGAAAAAGTAAGTTGCAAACTGTAGTCTTGTCATATTTCCAGAGAATTTTGCTATTTAATTTTAAGTTTTCACAAACACTTTATCAGCATAACTTTAAGTTCCATATACCAGCTTAAGAATGACAACACTGTGCTGGACCCAACTGCAACCTTCTTGTATTATACAAAAAAAATGAGATAAACAGATAATTCACCCTCACACACACACACACAACAGATACACAATGCACATATTGCCCTCTGTTCTTTTTTTTCAAATTTTCTCCCACATAAAGAAACCTTGCCCTTGGGGATCACCATTTACCATCCTGAAAGAGCAGCATACGTAATATCCTTTTTGCTTAAATGAAGGTGAAGATTATCCACAAAAGACAATAATGCAAAAGAGGTACACTAAAGGATGGTCTCACTGCTCTATCACTGACTGAACCAGGCAGAAGCAGATTTTCATAACTCAATCTAGATTTACAGGTGAACTGTCTGCTGCCAAAACCATTTTGCTTTTTCCTTCAGAACGAACATCAGAATTGACGCCATTTCATTGAGAAGTAAAATGCAGCTAATTCAAATACTATTGTTGAATATAACTATAAGAGAATGCACTTAACACATGATAATGAATGTTTCCCTTAATACTTGATTTTTTCAGAAAATAGAAAAAAAGCATATCTTTTTACTACCAGTCAGTTCAAAAACTATGATACACCTGATATTCCAAGAATCAATAATAGAAATGACATGAATATTCACAAATATCATTATATAATCACCACAACATAACAATGCAACAACACAGTTTCCACACTGCACCTTTAGAAGCTTCCGAAGAATCGGAATCTTTTTGAAGTCCCTTCTATATTTCTTCAATATGTTATGTAGCATCTGCAAACCTGAAAACCAAAGAAACAGTCATGTATTTGAATGTCAACAGAGATGCAATTGCAGTTAGCATTCATCATTGGATTCTGTGCAGCAAAAGTTTGGAAGAATACCATTCTTGTTAATTATGTCAGTTAGCACATGTCCTGATTTTGTTTTCAAAAGTGCATCAAGAATCATTGAAAGCTCTCGATTGCTGCATAATAAGAAAGCTAGAATCAAAGATTGGAAACTTATATAGCATGAGCTCAAAATTTATTGTTACGAGGCATCTAAATGAAGCGAAACTAAGTTGACCTTTGAATTGCTTCCCCACTGCCACCATCACCAGAAGTAGCTGTGAGAAGTAGAAGCTTCAAGTAGCCTTTAGATGCATCCTGTCACAAATCAGAATGTCCAATGAACTTGATCAGGTATAAAGAGCAGAAATAAAGAATTATGATGCAATACACAAAAAGTCCACATAATTTACTCATCAAAATAAGTGTCATCTTAGTATGACTTGATTATGAGAAACAAGAAAAATTTCTCATCTAAAAACTAAATGTCTGACATTGAACTACTAACCTTTCGTTTTGTTATTCCCCCTTCAGAATCCAGCAACTCATTAAGTTTCTCTTCCACTGCAAGCATCCAATTGCATGCATCAGTAAAATAGAAAACTACAGAACAGTCTTGTTCTAAAATAAGAGATTTCTTAACCTGCTTCAAAACGGCCAGTACTTGAATTTTCTGAGAATTTTCTGGGCTTGACAGTTGGCACTTGAGATTTGTTGGATGTTATCTGAATCCTATTTCCATGCAGAGAATTACTACTAATTTTCCCCTTCTTAGAGGAACCGGATGAACGAGATGTCTTCATCAGGGTGCGTGATTTTGCAGGAACCTTTTTGCCTTCTGGTGTATCAGACTTGGACTTCTTATTAGCATCAATAATATCAGAAGATAATTTGTTATCTGATATATTTAGGGAAGCATCTAATTTCTGAATGGAACAAGAGATGTTGATAGCCTTCTGTTCCTCGGTGCAATCTGCCTGAACAGCTTCACTAGGAACTGCCACAGGCAAGGCTTCTTCTGGTGGAATGGCTAAATGGATTTTCTCAGTTTGAACTGAACTGTTCAATTCAGATGTGGCAGAAGCAGAATGGCTCACGGAGTCCTTGGCTTCTTTCACATTCTTGAACTTTCCTACACCATCAGTTATTACACTCTCTACGGATTGCATTGCTGCATCATCAAAGGAATTCGATCTAGATATAACTTCTTTAGAACCAGTCCAGGTTTCACCATCTTCAAACATCATAGGTTCGGGAGATTCTTCATATGAATCATCATGAACAATTACTTCAGCACTAAGTGGATCACAGCCTATGTAACCCCGACAATGAGGAGAACCACAATGACATTTTTTTGCAGCAGCTCCAAAAACCCTCACATAGTTGTAGTCAAATGTAACCTCTTCCCCCTAACAAATATACCAAGCATATCACATATATAAGATGATTTCTCATGCATGTAACAGAAAAACGACACACACATAGAAATAACACAGAGAGAGAGAGATACAGACAAAAATACATATATGTATATTATGGTACGAGATAACATAAGAGCAATTTCTTCAAGGTCAGGTCTTGTGCCCCCATACCCTCCAAAATTTTCTGCTTAAACATCAGATTCTGCTTGCTCGAGTGAGGCCTCAAGGCTACTCTCTTGACTCTTGAAGCTTTACTTTTGTTTTTGGTTTATCCAAATATCCAACAGAAAGGATGCTACAAATGCAATAAATTTTCTGACATTTGGGAGTTTCAAGAAATGAATCATGGCTACTCTGATGTTTACTGATCAACTTATTAAGTATTTCTGTTTCGTTATGAGGACATGCTTCTAGAATAGGCACTTTAGCATTAATCTTTTTATTTCATTCTCCACCAAGTATTGTAGCATGAACTAATCATAAGACTCAATAAAAGGCTGGCCAACTAATATGTGGCATAACCTTAAAAAAACTAATATATGGCATAAATCTATTAATAGGTCTTGCAGGGGACTAAGTAATCAGGCTGAACAAAACTACATTTTGGGGGTTTATGTTTGAAAAATAAACAAGTTAAAACTTTTTAAGACGCGAGCAAGCAAATTGGACCAGGAGGTTAAGGTCTCAACTGTCTCAATTTAAAGGAACTTAGCAGATCAGTTATATGATATTTGAGTTGTATGTATGAAGCAAACCAGAAAAAAAGAAAAGTAATTGCAAGATGTCCATATAACAGGTATGATTGGCATCAACAGCAGACTTTGCAAGCTTACCTTCTTTATATCTCTCAAAGCGAATAGTCCAATACAAATTTCACCGTTCACCATCCACTGCTCATGAGATGGACAAAAACAATGGAAACAAGGTTAGCCATATTTATACTCAGGAAACATAAACAATAAAAAAAAATCAAAATATGATTGACCAAATTACCTATGCAGACAAACCCCAAGGTAGTTGGCCGTATCAGACATAGAAAGGTACATAGGTCAGCAAGAGAGAAAGACAAATCAAGCAGCTAGTTTATTGCACCCTTATAATCTTATTGATATATTATTAATATCAAAAAATTGTTTGCTGTCATGATCAGTAAATGAACAAAATTTAAAGGGCAAAGATGGCCATGATAGCAACAGATTTGGCAAATCAAATTCCAAACGAAAAGTTTGTAACAGCAATCCACAAAATAAGTTTATCAAACTAGTTTTTTTTAACAACGTTTCATATAGTGGAGATTTTTTTGCATTACAAAAGGAGGTGGAACAATGTTGTCAATGCGTGTCTTCAAAAACTCATACATATTGCGCTTCACTTAGGCTAGCGTTTTTTTGTGCCTTGTGCTTGAGCCAATATAAGGGTTTAAGTGCCTAGAATGCGCAACCCTTGACAATAAGGTGGAAAGGAGACATTCCACGAAGAGATTCTATCATTCATCTCTCATCCTAATTATGGTAACACACATTATAAGAATCATATTTAAATTAATTTTATTGGGAAAGAAATCAAGTTATCTTATTAAATGATATGAGAACAAAAACCTCAGATGAACATTCACCTTTTCGGTACGACAATTGGGATCACAGCTATGGTTGATGAAGCGCCCCAAATTTCCTTTGACATATGCGTCTATTACCTGGAAGAAAGAAAAAAAATATCCTTGAAACTGGACAATCAAAGTAATAAATTGACAAAAAAATACAGCATAATAGCTTTAATTGTTAAACCGAAGAAACTGGGGAAAACTAAATGAAAACATTATTCAGGACAGATGGATAGTTACAAGCATGAGTAAACATGGGGCTGCAAAAGAAGATAAAGTGTGAATTGAAAAGGCAAAGCTAAAGCAGCAAGGAAGCACCTCTGTTTCTCCAAAGTAATTTCAGAGATACAAGGTTTCACCATGAACAATAAATAAAATCGACTGTGTAATAAGTCATAAACTTATGTTTCTAGCTATGTCCACGTACAGTTAGTATTTAATAATTAAATAAAAAAACCATATACAGGCGGGAAACAGCTAAACTTTCTTAAAGCCTTTTGCACTATTAGTGTTGTATTCTATTGATAGTCATAACATTTGGGTAAATAGAACAGCTAATATAGAGGCTGATAGCTTAGCTAAGGCTGGTATTGGTTAGTTTTTTGATGTATTTAGGTTGTGTGGTTTGAGTGTTTTTTGGGCTGATATTTGTAAGGGGGCTTGGCTGTTTATAACTTTTTGTAATTTTATGTTATCAATAAATTTTGAGGCACTCTTTTCCTCCTTCCGCTGATTAAGGGGCACCTATTTGGTGTTCTATAATCATGAAGGGGGGTTTTAACGAGGCCTCCACTTCTTATAAAAAAAAATAGTCATAACATTTGTAAAATAAGAGTGGTAAAGGATATTATCCAAACCTCACTGCCATTCAATGTCATGAAATAGAAATGCCTTTGACCCCTAGAAGCATACTCCTGCTGCCGAGCCTCATAAGTTTGCATATCAAGCACCTGATGAACCAAATAATTCAAATACCACTTATAATTATACATATATATAAATAAAGTGACCACAAATATACAATCAGCATAACATACAGCCCCATTCTACATGAATTATGGATTAGACAACAACTAGCCTTCAACAAATATGAATTTTCTTTTTTGTACAACTCTCGCTTCTGAAAGCAAAAAAACTTTGAGAAACTTTCAGATGGGTATGACAAGAATCAGTCAGCTTGCTATTTGGATTTGGAAAATGGCTTGCAAAAAAGACCAACAGTCAACATGATAATAAATGACTTGAACAAGGGAACATAATAAGAACTAGATATACCCAACTCTAGTCTCTATCCTTCCTCTATGATATGATCACTTAATTCCCATTGATTGAAGAATGTTTAAAAGAAACAAACTTCACTGCTTCAGACAGTGCAGCGCACACATTATATAAACTAAATAATGAAGCTCACCCATGACAAGGCATAACAATGCCTTAGGCATACTTATTCAGAAAATCCATTTGACAATACATTAGATGTTTTTACCCAAACAGTTTAGTAAGGGGGGAAACCTCAACAACAGTGTTCATTATGACTGCAGTTTACTTTAAAGTCCCATTTGCTTAAACAATTATAAAAATCAGACCAAAATAGCCATAACATGAATTTGATTATAATTTCAACAAGCCTATCATGATCAAAAAGAATGAAGTAATCGAAAACAAATCGTATATTACCTCTCCAACGTATTCAATAAGGAAATGACCAGCAGATATATTCTCTAGCATCCTCAATCCAAAACCCTTCTTACCAAATCTGTCCCACTTTATTTTTGCATATTTTCGCTTCTGGAACTGCAAAAATAGACATTTGGAATAAAATAACATTCCCTTCCAAAAAAGAGTCCTCTTAGATGTTAGAAACACACAACATAAAATAAACTGCATAACTATTGCATCTACTAAAAGCAGTGAAGAACCTGTTGATTTGAACAGAGGTCCCCGCAAGGACAGGTGCCTTTGACACATTCAATATTCAGCATCCGATTTAGGCATTCATCCCCACAACCAAACTTCCCGTCTGGAGGTCTTTTGCACTGGCAAACCATTATCTGCTTAAAATTTAACTGAAATGTTAATAACCGAAGAAGAAAAACAAGCCCAAACAATATAACCACAAAAGCTATCAACCTGACAATGAAGAATGGAATAAAAGGTAAAAAAAAAACTAATTTATATTCCTCTTTTCTCCAATTCAACTGAAGTGTGCATTATATGCTAAATCTTTTTCCACACTGAGGAAATAGGGGAATCAACCAGTTTAACTTGTAAAGTTTATCACCCAAGACATGGGATACCTTCAACAAGGAATTAGAAGGGGATATTAAGTAATTCAAAAACTTTAAACTTATTTGTATTGGCTAGACCTAGAGCCCCAGACAATAAACAATAACTGAAGAAGGTGACAAAGTAGTGAAAAACATAGAATGTACTTCGCAACACAACCCCCTCCCACTAAAGTAAGAAGAAGAAGAAAAAGAGGATCCCACCCATCAGGAGTGCATATGCTGACACAGTGAACTCATGATAATTTTAATGTAGTTTCAATAAATAAAAACTACATTATAATATCACACAAAATCTATAGGAAGGCAGAGGTGAGAGAATAAAACAGATTTACAAGATCTGAAAAGATTAATAAGCTTCCACTCCCAGATAAACTCATAGTGCCCCTAATCATTATTACCAATACAACAACATATAATGAAATCAAGTTAGATTCAGACTCTACCTGCAAAAAGAAAGAAAAAGCTAGATTCAGAATCAAACCTCATCAATGGTTTGTGTTTTTCGGCCACGGTGCAAAAATTGGTTACTATTAATACGCCAAAAATGTGAAGGTGCAGATGCTGCAATAAATTAGAAAGCGAGTATGAAAGGAATATCGAAAAGGAAAGAAGTGAGCAAAAAGATAATCATTAAACTTAAACAACATCTCTAGCTTCCACTCTTTCATGCAGTTTGGCCATAAATAGTGAACATTATACCTGTCATACGTTTATTATCAATTCCCTTTTCCAATTCCTTATGATTGAAACCATCACAACCATCTTCCTCAGCATCTGATATGCCCAACTCAGCATTAATATCTGCATTGGACTTCTCTTGTGGGATTGAGCAATCAGCAAATGCTTTATCCACGTTGTAGCCACAGACCCTTCCAAGTAAGTGACAAAACAGAATTAACATTATGCATCAGACTGCCTAAGCTTATGAAAAGATACAAAATGATAACACATTTGAAATGGAGAACATATTATATAACATAGCTCAAACAGAAGAAAGCATTTGATTAGATGGTAAGATGTCATGGTTTATAAAGACTGCAACCACTAGAAGAACATCAAATTAGGTTTCCACAGGTTGGAGTATTTCATTAGGCACTGATCATTGCAGTTCATAAGATATGGAGATAAAAACTAAACAAGCAACCCTTCCTGTATCAAATATGTGGTATGTGTTTGGACAAGCAATTTGACTATTCTCAAACATTTAAGAGCAAACTAAACAAACATGGAAAAACCAGCATTTAATAAATAACTCACATAAATAGCATTCTAAGATGATAAAAAGATGTATGAAATGATAGATACCAACGATATGCCTCATCAATTGACTTTACAAGTGAAACTGGTATTCGACGCCATTTATGGCAATCATCGCAACGCACCCAAGCATTATCAGGCTGTGTATGCTGCTGCATGATGCCATCTGGTACCAAGTCACCATTAACCATGTCTGCAGGTACAATATTGTTGCCAGTATTTGAGTCCTCATTATCATCTGAAATATGATTTCCTGCAGCACCAACTATTGCAAAAATAATTATAATAGTCTCCATTTTCTTCTATTCTGAATCAATTTATCACAATGGCGAGGAATAAGAATAACAACTAATGTGTGAAAATTGTAGAAGTGATCAATAAAAATAATATGATAAGAACAGAGAAGGGAAGAAATAGTTACACATATCCTTAAAGTTCCAGTACCTGTTACTGCGCTCTTTCCTCCTCTGGCTACAATCCCTTCATCGGAACATTTCTCCTTTACTTTGCTCTTACTAACTGTCTTTGACTCATCTCCTCTCCGATTAGAAGCACTTCCTTTCGTGTTCCTTGCAGAATCAGAGATTCTGAGCTTCCCCTTGCTCACTACCTGAGATTTTGAACTTTTGGAAAGTTGATTACACTTGTGATTAGAAGAAGAGATAGGCTTAGTGCTCTTTGCGTCTGGAACATCAGGACTGAAACAAGCTTTATCCATACTTCCTATAGCCTCTTTGGAAATTCCAAGCCCATTCTCTCTTGAAGCATCTGCAGCAGGGGATATAGTAAGAGCCTCGCAGGAGACAATTCCATTATCTACTGTTTTTTGCCTGCCTCGGTGACTCTTTGATGATTTAGCTCTCCTAATGCTGGCTGCACCAGGAGATTTATGATTATCCTTTTTCTTTCCTCTCTTGCTACCCTTACTAGCCTTAACACCTCCAAGAGAAGCAAGAGCTCCAGTAGTATTCAAAAGCATATCATCTGACTCTTCTTGGCGTATTAAACCAATTTGTGTATCAGGAATTGTATTGATTACTTCTGAATCTGGTGAAGTTCCAGGATCCATGCACTTGTTCTCTATTGCTTCTATAGATGCTTCACCCCCTGCATCAGGCTGACTTACAAGGGAATTATCTGCAGCATATTCAGCAATCTTCTCAAGTTTTTCAGCACTCCCTACAACTTTGTTTGCTAGTTTTTCTTCAGTAACAAAAGCATCTGAGCATGTTTTCACCATTTCTTGGTCTTCCTTGGAATGAAACAGAATTTCACTACCGAGATCTCCTGCTTTATCATCAACAACATTTTCCTTCCCATACTTACTAAAAGTACCAACAGAAAGCGATGGATCAACCACTTCTGCAACCAAAGTATTCAGATTACTTGGAGCAACATCCTTGCCCACTTTAATCTTCAGACGTAGGCAACTGGTTAAAGTGTTATTTAGCCCACTTGGTTCTTTTCTGTTTTGACCAGCTCGGTTTTTTCTTTGTTTTCGAATACCCTTATCTTTGGGAGGTTCTTGATTCTGCATTCCATTACACAAAAGATCAGGACTTGGCTCAATAAATTTTGTGATATTATTCAACAATCCCCAAATGGAAGAACGAGCTGGTTTTGATGAACAGCTTCTCTTCCTTCTTGAAGCTTTGGAAAGGAATTCAATACTTTCAAGTGGAAATTGCAGATTTGTGCTACTACAGTTCCTAGAACCCCTTTTCGCAGGAGCCTTTCTGCTCGATTTACTTTTCTGTCTGCTCCTTCGAGAAGAGGAAGATGTGATTGGACACTTTTTAGTTTCTGAAACACAATCAACCTTGACAGTATCCTTTCTTTCATTCTCTCTCTGTCCAGAACAGTCAATTGAACTGCTAGAACTAATTGCAGCACATGCCTCCTTCCTAAAAAGATCTGGTGCATCCAACCTCGCAGCCAAGCCATTTTCAACAACATCAATGGCTTGACATGACAAAGAAATTGATTTATCAGAAAGACAGTTTGCACCTTGCTCAAATGAATCCCTGTTCAAGTTGCAGGCCTTTCCTTTAGCATTTCTTATTTCACTGGATATCTCAACCTTTGTACCCGGAAGAACATTAGCCCCCTCAGAAACCTCTGCAACACCATCTCCTGATGGACTACTAACATTCTTACAATCAGTATTTTCATTCTGCTGTGTGTGCAATGATATCCGTGAAGCCAACAACTCAATACATAAATCATCAGTACTTCTAGTTTCCATAGGTATAGTAGAACTCTCCAATGAGATATCACTGCTACTCAGATCTTTCTGGTTATGCCAGTCACAGCTACCTAATGATACACCAGTTTGTTGTAAGTTGGAAATTGTCTCAGCACAAGCTGAAGTCCATATCTTGCTGCACATATCAGTTTTTGAATCATGAACATCAATGTTTCCCTGATTTTCATTCAAATAGAGCCCATGATCACATACCCTATCACCCTTCCGTTCATTTGAACTAGAATCTACATTTTCACACTGAATTTCATTCGAATAACCCTTACTATCAGAATGACCCATTAATTCCATTGGCACAGAATGATTAAGACTTGCACCCTGCTTATCATTTAAGCAAACCACAGTATCACCAATTAATTTGTTCAAGACAGAACCATCTAAATTCTCACTCTGATTTCCATTAGAACAAACTGTATTATCACCATATGTATCAACCCTCAACTCCTTTGGAAAAGAATCATCCACTTTCTCACTTTGATTTCCAATTGAGAAATCAGAATCATTCACACTTTCACCCTGATCTTCTAAACAAACCACAATATCATCATTTTTATTGCTCATCAATTTCTTCAAACCAGAATCATCCATAAGTTCACCCTGATTATTTTCCACACAAACCACACCATCACCGAACATATCACTCGTCAATTCTTTAGCACAAGTAGCATCAGCTTTTTCACCCCAATTTTTCTTCAAACCAACTGAGTTTGCACGCCATTCACCACCCATCAATTCCATCATACCCGAACCCACAATTTGGACCTCACCCTTTATTCCAACTAGGTAATCAATATCTCCAGACTTTATGCAACCAGTGTTTTCATCTTTACCCGACTCACCAGCACAATCCCCATTAGAATTAATCACAACACAATCCCGTTGCTCAGAGACAAGTTTCCCCATTGACTCAGAGCAGCAATGTTGTACTGCAGCAGCAGCTTCAAGCGTAGGTTCGTTAACCAAAGCCATCTTCCCAAACGAACCCATATCAGTTGTTTCCAAACAAATTATCAACAATGCAGCAAACTCATTACTCCAAACCTAGATAAAAAGTTAAAAAAAAAAGTTGACCCAATAATTAAAATCAGGCGTATCCAGTTCACTAATACAATGCACCCTCAAATTCACCGCCAACATATCCCTAGCTACCTTTAATCACACCGTTCCCAATAAAACCTTAATAAAAATAAATAAATAAAAACATACCTTGTCAAAGCTCTCTCTGAGAAGAAGCTCGGAGAAAACCCTAGAATCCCTTTCTCTACACAATCCAAAAACCTTCATCTCAGAATCTAAACACTAATGCGTATAAAAAAACATAATCGAAAAAAAAAAGATAATACATTGAAAAAATTAACCAACAAGAAAGTAAAGGAAAAAATATATACTTCGCCAAAGAGAAGAGAAACCAGGCCGTTGAAGAAAGGAAGAAAAAGGTCGATTTATAATTTTTTCTAATTTTTTATTAGAAAAAGAATGGAATTTTTTTTAATAAACCTGTTTGGGGGAAAGGAATATGAGAGAGAAAATACGAGGAGAAAATAAAAAGGGGGAAAAAAGAAAAAAAGGAAGAAGGAAGATGAGATATTAAAATATCAATTTTGACCTTTCCTCCTTAATTTTGTAGGTCGAGTTTGATTTGGACAACGATACTCTTTGTTCACCCATTTGACACGTGTGTTTCTTATGGGTATTGTTGTCATTTCCTAATAGAATTTTGTTTTCAAGTTTTTTTCTTATTATAATTAGACAATGTGTTGAGGTGAATTTGGATTAGAATATTAATAAAGGTTTGATGTAGAAAGTATAAAATTTACTATCGCATTTACCAGTGGATAGTATTTTATTATTTTTTATATTAAAAATGCTACAAATTTATACTATCATGTATAAGGTTGTAAATGAGCCGAAACAGATCACGAATTACTCGAGATCGACTCGGTAAGGCTCGATAAATACTCGGATCGAATGGACTCGACTCGAATTCTTAACGAGCCGAAACGAGCTACTTGATACTCGACTTGAAAAGCTCGTGAATAGCTCGAAAATATAATATATTAAGATTTTATTTTTTTTAAAATAAATTATTAACAATATTAATATTTATGTATTGATTTTTTTTAATACAATAAGGATTTCATGTATTTAAGGTTCAGGTTCGAGTTTGAGGATTCAATATTGTTAAGTTTAAGAATTTTTTTTTCATTTCGAGCCTTTTCGAGCTGCTCACGAGCTTCAGTTCAGGATTTCGAGTTCGAGTCGAGTTTAAAACTTTTAAGCTCCCAAGTTTTCGAGTCGAGTCGAGCTTCATTTCAGAGTTTTCGAGTCGAGCTTAGCAATAATCAAGCTCGACTCAGCTCGTTTACACCCCTGGCCACGTAGGCCTAATGATATAAATGTAATTTATTAAGTGATTAAATAGAATATTATTTTTTGGGTAAACTATGTGAATAATATCTTTTGTTTAAGTCTGATTATTTTGATCACCAATTTTAAAATTAAGGGTAAATGGTCTCTCACATTATCGGTTTATCTGATTTAAGTTCATCTGCTATTAATTTTCGTTGACCCCCTTTTGTTTAAGTCCCTTTGTTTAATTCCCTAACATGGTTGAGGAACTAAATTTGAACATGAGTTAATGGCTGAGGGACTAAAATTGAATGGATCAATAATATTAGGGACTAAATTCGAATGGATTGATAACATTGGGGGACCATTTCCCCTTGATTTTTAAATTGGTGGCCAAAGTTGATCAGACCGAAAACATAGGGGACTATTCGCATAGTTTATCTTTTTTGTTCGAGCATTTGTTTTTATAAAATGTGTGTTGTAACATCCCAGAAATTTAATTAAAAGAAAGTTGAGGACTAAATTGCAAAATTTCAAAAGTTTGCAACTCAGTTTGGTAACCTTTGGGAAGTTTAGGGACTTAACCCTGAATTATCCTATTTTTCTGGTCAATTGAAAAAAATGAGTATTTAGTGGCTGAGGGGCCTTGAACTCGTGAACTTAGAGTCATGGGTGTCCATGCCTAGCCACCAGGCTAGGTTTCTATTGGTGATTTATTTAATAAAATATATTTTTATATCAATGTGGTTTGGGTTATAACCCATTTTCATAAAACCCCCGTACGTGAACCAATCCAAACTCAAACCCATTATTTTACCAAATAAACAACCCCACCGTCGCCCCTCCAGCCAGCCACCTCCAATCGACGGTTGAGTACATTGTTGTTGTTATCGGCCTCAGCAACGACCGACGATCCAACCCTGACCCTTAGATCACTGGTATCGACTGTCATTCATTGCGTAGAAGAATGAGAAACCCATCGGCTCGCCCTCCTCGTATGAGAAACCCATCGACTCGCCCTCCTCGTTTTGACACCACAGTCCGCCAGTGGTTATCACCGTCTAGCCTAACGGAAGAGCCATCAAGCTCCGAACCCACCCCAACCGATCACTCACCAAAATACCCAACCGTCCGCCATCGATGAGCGTTGAGAAGTTCGTCGGAACCCGAAACATCGTCGCCTGATTTTCCTCATTTTCGGTCATTCCAGCCGTCGTTTCTCCTCACCGCCACCACCACCACCTTCGCACTCCCCAAGGGATTCCGACCAAAACACTATCGAGTTTTTCCGTCGAAAACTATCCCGTCGCCGATCGTCGCCTTGGGTAAGCTTCGGATATTTTTTGCATGGTTTGGCTCATATTTGGTTTAATCTCAATTATAATTGGTTAATTGAAGCTGTAGGAGTACTAGGCGGTCGTCCCCGACCCTATCGTCGTTGCCACGCACCACTATGCACCGTCGCGTGCATGTGGGGCTCATTCCTAGCCTTAGAACATCCTAGAATCGATTCGAGTTGACTCGAATCGGTCTGAGTCAACTCAGACCTAACTAAGTCAACCTGAAATGACCTAAGTCAACCCGAACTAGTCTGACCTGTTGAATTTGATCCAAACCGTTAACTTTGACCTTCTCGTTGCCCGTTGACTTTGACCAAAAAGTCAAAATTTTTGAAAAGTCATATTTTATGTTTTTCAACGTCCCGAGTCTGAATCCGAAGTCTGTTTCACCAAATTCAATCTTGGTAAGCTGTTTTTCATCATTTTATCTCCCGATTCAATACGAATTTTCAAGTTTAAGTTTCGTTTCTAATGTAATTGGTTTTGCCTTGTATCCAAGACATTATGGGACGTGGAATTAAAGTTCGAGGGCGATCAAATAAAGTTAAATTGGTTAACCTTTATGGCTTAAAAATTGAGGTAATACATTACCACTTTATGTATGCTTTATAGAACATGTTGTCATTGGTTAATGCATAGACGAATATGTTTGGATACATGTTTGTAATTAATATATTTATAAACTCGATCCAAATGCGATGAAAAGTAATTAAACTGAATAAGACTCAAATTACATGTATAAGACACCAGAAATAATTTCAGGTTCATTAATTAATCGATAAAGCAATCAACCTCAGAATCTTTAAATTCTAATTATTTTCGTTAAGTTTTAATATAGGAATCACCTGGTTAAGAAATTACAAAATTACCCCTATAAAGTAAAAATGGTCTGAACTGAGTACCCTGATAATTCGTAGTTAATTCAACAAACTATTGATTTACCTGTTAAATTTTTGATCAGCTCGGATAGTCACTGATAATCAGATCCTAACATTCGAGAATGTACAAGACCAATAATTATTGATTTATCAGTAAGCACCTAAATACTAAAAACATCAAAAGTACTATTCATGTTTGAATTATTCAGAAAAATTGAATTAAATGGAAAGAATGGACGAAAGGAAAGAACTATAATACCCCTGAACTGTAAAATGCCCCTGGAGTGTAAATGACTTAAGATACCCCAAATCATGGAATGACTGAATATATGTTTGTCTCCTCAAGGATCGTTCGATGATAATTTTGAAAGTGCTCAGCTCAACTCAACTCTATGGTGCAATTAGTATTAAGAAGTGAATATTTGTGAGACTACTCTACCCGCAAACTCGGTAAGTACCGCATTATTGGGATCTGATCAGTTCGACTGCATTTGGAAGCTGGATAAGACACATGAAATCTGAAATACTGTAAATCACTGCTTGCCTTTATTAAACTGAATTGCCAAAAAAAATTAAGAATTTAAATAACTATAATTCCCTTACATGTGTATGCTTTACGGAATCACCACGGGAATATTCGAATCTTAAATAATTCTGATGTAGCAGTTTCTGACACATCCTAGGGTTATATCCGAATATTATACGATACTAATGTATCACTTTCCTAATGATTGATAAGTCTGTTACTAATCCAACTTTTTAAAAAAGTGATATCATTCCTCAAGTTCGATCAATTGAAGAAGTTTCATGTTTACCTCGTTGGATAATTACCAAGCGATCATCTAGTGTGTTCCCTATGTGTTATATGATTGTTTATCTGTTTTGAAATGCGTTTTAGTTAGATTTCTAAGTTACTGAAGTTTTACGCCTGCATGTCCGATTCATGATCTCTAGATATTGTTTATATTGAATTGATATGTTTGAACTCTGATTTCTTGACTACCGAATATATTGTCTGAAAACTAATTTCTTCGGGGTAATATGGGATCTGGTATGAAGTCTTTGTAGGTTCAGCTTTGATCAAGCGGGTAATTCCTTATATAAGTTCAACTCTGATCAAGTTGGTAATTCCTTATACAGGTTCAACACTGATCGGTTGGTAATTCCTTATATAGGTTCAGTACCAATCAGCTGATAATTCTTTATGGATCTAAGGCGACCCTTGGGTGGGCTCCTAGGCCCAATGAACCTCTACTATGTACTTTGGGTAAGTTCTTATGGACCTGAGGGCACACCCCTCCGGAGGGCACCTACGCTTTGGCTAGGGTAAGACCTTATGGACCCAAGGTGCTCCCTTAGATTGTCATCTATGCCCAATGGGCCTAGGGTAAGTCTTTATGGATGTAGTTCTGGGGAACTGCATATTGGTGTTTGGTTGGAGAGTTTTACTATTGTCTTAAAAATATGTTTTAAACTGTTACTATTTTAAAAATATATATACCTTTTCACTAGTTTTGGTTGGAGCATACTAGACATCCTATTCTGATCTCTTGAACCTGATCCTCTAAACTTTTTCTCTGAACTATAAGTTTCATGTCTTTTACTCTAAGAAATATCAATGAAACCTCAACTCATCTTAAAAACCTGTAGACATCTAAATCAATAAGGGAGAATTTATGCTTTTCCATTTATCTGCATGTCTTTTCTCATCACTTGGTAGTTTTGTATTACTAAGCTTCCCAAAACTCACTATTTTACTCACAATTTCAGGTTAAAAGAATTGATCGAGCGCAACTATTGACATTTGCAGTGGGAGTTCATATGGCTTGGGTTGAAGAGTATGATACAAGTGTAATTAGGGGGCATGTAGATCACATTTAATTTTTATACTGAGTATGAAATTTGTATGATTTTAATTATGTTTGTAATATATGAATGATTTTCTAAACTTGTAATTTAATTATAAATTATTTTAT